GATTCAGGTCCTAATTTTTTTTCTACTTTGTTCTGCATTACTCATATAAGCCTGAATAACCATCCCCAAGTCTACGTTTACATAGAGTGTTTCAAAGTTATTTTTCCTGGAATTAAAAAGCCTAAGACTTTGTGGTACGTCACTACCCACAGTGATGGAAGTTTTATTCTTGGTTTTATGTCATATTCAGACTACGTTGCATTCTAGTTCTTATGCACTACTACAGCAGCATAGAGTCTGGACTACAAACTACAGGGAAGGTTTCAATTCAATCAAGAGCTTCCTTTACTGCCATGTAATCAACAGAGATGTTATAGAGTCATTTCTATTATTTTTTGTAAGTTTAAACAAGACTTATCTGGGTTCACCACAAGCGTTAGTCATCTTCCTTATTTTCAATTATTATATATTGTTCTCCATGTGAAAGTTAAAAAAAATTATAATAACTGAAGAAAATTAATTCATTTCTGATTGTTTAAATTCTCTTTAGGTACTGATAATACTTCGTGACCAAGTTATTTGCTACTGTTTAGGATACTTGGAGATGCAGGACATTAATAAAAACAAATACCAACATTCATGACAAAGATTTGAACCAAAAAATTTTATTCTTAAATCAAAGGTTGTGGTATGATTGTAAATAAAAACAGAGGCAGAAAGAAAGAAAGAAAAAAAAGTTAAAAAAATAGACATCCCCTTTCACACAAAAATTACAAAACCCACAAAAATATAAATATTTCAGATTTGATTAAAACAAATCTCTTTCATATTAAATTGAAAAATAAATGTGCAAATCCAGTAAAATTTTGCTTGATCAGGAACTATACATGCCACTTTGGGAGAGTCAACTGTTTAAGGTTTTTTATCCCTCCCCTTTTTTCCATTAGGATTATGTCAACTTTGATACGGCTACATTGTTTGAAAAATAGTCAAAACCAATAAAATATTTTTTAGAATTGACTTTGCCTCCATCCAGAAGAGCTTTGGGCAAGTAAGCAAATCCTTCATCAATATACACAGATTCGCATTATCTGCATGTGCAATTTTCAGTAAGTATCTAAGTATAAAATGAGAGTAATTTTAAATGGTCTCCAAAAAAACCCACTGAAACAATGGATGAAATATGGACTAACACAGATAAAACTCAAAAACTACCTAGGAGGCAGGCATCCACAGATACACATCATGGGTGGGCCCATGGGCTGAGCCCACATACAGCCAAGTTTCCAGTATTAACAGCTCCAACACTCTACTTCATCATCAGCTTACAGAAGCCCATCATAAAGAATGTAATGACATTATTATTACACTTTAAACCCTTGCTCAGTCTGTGTTGTATGTATCTTCCAATAACTAGTTCACAGAGAATGAAAATTGACTCCAGTATCGAGCATATTTAACTGTAGCATTCCATCTTTTTTGCCTTGCTTTATCGGAAAACTATACATAAGTGTTTAACAAAAAGGATAGTTCTTCAAGTTGTCTTTGCTCATTTTGAGGAAGCCTATTCCTAATTCAAATGTTCTTTTTTTTGGGAAGTGCTGGTTTCTGTTGCTAATTCCTCATGGGAATGGTTTTGGGAAAACAAAATGGTAAAAATAGAGAAAAATAAATCACCACATAATCAAATACACATCTGTTACAAGGTTTTGATGTATATGAAAGGAAAATGGAATAGAGTACCAGTAATCAAACCTGTTTATATAATTTTTTCCATTACTTTATGCAACTGTTGCTAGGCAGTCATGTGCCATGGTGATGAGCGGAGTGTGAATACCTAGACAGATTAGAGAGACATATGTTACGGAGCACATTATGTATGGTGTGTTTTCTCTCTAGACTGCTGTACAAAACCAAGATACCCACTATTCTTCCTCCCCAAGAGGACTGCAAGGTCAGATGGTTCAGAGAAATAGTTCAAGGGGTCTGACCTTGTGGCAATACAGGTATCACTTTCTGCTCTTAGTTACACAGTTCTCTCTAGTGACTTAAAACAGACAGAGTGCATGTACTACTGCATTTTAAATAGAGGTTTAAAAGAACAGAATTTTTTTTTTTAAATCTGCACTTTTTATAATGGTTTTACAATGCATGCAATCTACTTCCTAAGCCAGTTTGTAAAGTCTGCTATATTCTTTCCAGAATCAGCTGGAAATACAAAATATAGAAATTTAGAAAGATCTGTATCAGAAAAGTGATTCACTCTACTAGTTTTAGAGACTGAGCTACCATGTAAGAAACTTGTAAGAAGAATATCTTAAGAAGGTACTTCAAGCAATTGTACAGGGGAAAATTTGAAGGAACAAAAGTCATATAAATTCTTTTCTAAATAAATGCCTTTCACTCTCAGCATCCAACTTGAAATTATTGCTTCCCATGTTTAACATAAGCAATAAAAACAGTGGCTACAAAGAACATGGGAAAGGCACGAGACAGGATTCCAAAATCATGAAACCTGGCAAAAAGAGCAGCAGGGAAAGTCAAAGTATGAGACTAAAGTCAGTAAGTGCAGGGGTAAAACACAGATTTTTGGTCCATAACACTTTAGAACTCAAAATACAGAAGTCAAAAAAAAAAACAAAAACTTGCACTATAATCAAGAAAACTGACAGCCAAGAGTCAAACCATGATTTTCCTGGTAGACAGGAAGGAATGTGTAAACTAGTGTAAAGAAGAAGTCAGAAACTTTTGTTAATAATCTAAACACTGAAAGGAAAGAGACACTGGAAGGGAAGTTTGATAATGACTCAAGTAGGAACCATGGCAGCTGAAATAAGTCAATTTTTTGTATGTGCCAGAGCAGGTTCTATTACTTTGATAGCAACGTTAAGTAATAAAGTCAGATGTGATTTTTGTCACAGACTGGAGCAGGACACCCACAATGAAGTTTCAGCAAGACAGCTGGTGGTGCAAAGCTGAGCAAATGAGAAAAGCCTGAGTGGGAGTCAGAAGATTGTAACTAATAGCTGAATAAATTAGATGTCCAATACCTTCATTTACTGAAATGATTTCATCATGAAGTAAATGCATATCCTGTGTTTATTTCAATGTGTAATATGAAATTCAAATCTGCTTTTACATATGTATGTAATCAGTCTTAAATGCAGCTGTATTTATTGTCTAAAAGTCCTGAATTTCACACTTACAGAGTACCCACTTCAAAAACGAGCAGTTATTCACTGAATTTCCAAACACTTGGAAATCTTACGTAAACTCTCTCTCAAAATCCATTTCATTTGAACATACCAAAGTTGTTGACCATTTCCATGGGAAATCAGAAACTTTTAATGTAAGACAAACTTGGGGCTCCAAGATGCTCCAGGAGCAAACTACAAAAATTAACAACTCAGCACTCACAAATAAATGTAAGAAATTTTAGTCTAAAAACATTTTGTCAGAACTCGAAGGTAACGTTTTATTACAAAAGTTCCTCTTTAACATCCACGTATCACATTTCTCGTCTTTTTTATATAAATACAGCTTTTTTATATTGCTAACAATCTAGAATGACATGACTGTTCAAATCACTCCTTTTCCAATCCAGGTTTTAATGCCAGCTATCTCAGTTCTTAACTTCCTAAACTCAAACAAGACAGTACACTCCTAAACCAAGCCATGTGCTACCAGTGGTTACTACAACTAGTCTTTCAGGCTTAAATTCTAACAATAAATCAATAAATATTATACTTGCTGGATGCAAAAAGTCTGATATTTGTTACCGGTACCCACAAATAAACATGTGCTGTGGAAAGAAACCCAGCTGCTAGCAGTGTTCTTAAATCATTGTGGTACTGAGTAAACAGGTTGCCCAGAGAGGCTGTCAAGTCTCCATCCTTGAAGATATTCAAAACTGGCTAAACTTGCTTTAGGTGACACTGCTTTGAGAAGACGTTTGGACTACATGATATCCAGAGGACCTTTCCTGCCTCAGCAATTCTTTGATTCAATTTTAAACATACAGATACTACTTATCAGGTTCAAAATACAGCAGCAGTCTGTACTTCTTCCTGTGAGCATCTCAGATCAGCTAAACTAAAAGTAAAACAAGACAAAAATATGGTTTCCAAACACCACTTCTTGCTATTTATCATTAGTCAGTTTTCAGTGCCAGGTCTGCTATGTGTGAATTTCTATAAATTGATAAAAGTGTTGGTAGTGAAAACAAACCCAAATTACATTTCAAATTTAAAATTAGCGTATCAGGATGTACAAGAAGCTGTTCAAGCAGTAAGAAGAGATCAGACAGTCACACGAAGCCTTATTCCCATGCAGAGCAAGTAAAGGATATGTATAAGCAATAAACCAAGCTACTGCAACATCAGATTAAAATAAATTCATCTGAAGTCCTAATATTGCTTTCTATTCCATTTTTATGTCATATAATTACAGCAAGAATGGTGAGCAAGTTTAATAGTTCAGAGAGATCTCTTTCTTAGCATTCCACAAAAACAAAATAACCTAAGGTCTCACCAAGTCAAAACTTATGACTGAGGCTTTTGGCTAATGAACACTGACACAGTTGCAAAATAAATCTACCCCATATCTTTTTCTAAATCACATGCTTGGGCTATGAAGACTGATTTTATACATATATTTTTTTTCTTTTTCTTAGTTAGCTCTTAGAGTTGCAAGTTTTCTTAAATTATAAATATACTAGTACATGAGTATTGTGGTGAGATTATAAACACAGACAGCAGGTGCTTAAAATCAATCAAATTTAGACAAAAGTCACATGGAGGTTTCTCCTCTTTGTATTTGAAAAAGTGAGAAGACACCTCTAAATCTATAAAAAAGAGAACCATTACCTTCCTTTTTTTTTCTTTTCCTCCGATTTCACTCCATTTTACTCATAAGCAGCTTCCTGGAATACGATTATTTTTTTCTCTGAACTCATTAAGTGAACATGATGATACATTGTGACACATCTTGACGTTTCAGCATAATGAAAGTAAACCCAACTTTTTGCTCTGGTAGCGAATATCAGTTTAAAAACTACTCACCTCTGTGATATGAGGGTTAGGATTGAATCCACACAGGCTGCAGACTACAGTGTGACACTGGGTGCACGTGTTGTAGTTGGCCTTTTCTGGGGTGTGCAGCAGCAGCTCGGTGGTTGTGCAAAGAGGGCAGAAGGTTTTCTTTGGGGCGGACTCAGGGGGTTGGCTGGCACCAGCTGGCTTTTGCTGCGGGGGCTTGTCCGGCCCTGGTTGCTGGCCAGGTGGTTTTGTAGGTCCTGGTTGCTGTGCCGGGGGCTTTGTGGTCCCTGCAGTCTGAGAAGGTGATTTTGTAGGCCCTGCCTGCGGTGGCACTTGTTTTACAGGCCCTGTTTGCTGTGGAGGTGGCTTCCCAGATCCAGGCTGTGGTGGCTGTTTTGCAGGTCCCGTTTGCTGAGCAGATGGTCTTTCGGGTCCAGGTTGCTGAGAAGGCTGTTTTGGAGGCCCTGCTTGCTGGGACGGTGGTTTTGCAGGACCTCCTTGCCGAGCCGGCTGTTGAGATGGTTGTTTTACAGGTCCCGGCTGCTGCGATGAGGGTTTTGTGGGAGGTGGTGCTTGGGACGTCGCTCTAGTGCTGTCTGATTGCTGTGGGGAGGGTTTTGTTGGGCCTGGTGAAGGTTTTGTAGAAGTTTGTTGTTGAACAGGCTTCGTTGGATCTGGCTGTTGGGGCTGAGATTTTTGTGGTCCTCGTGGCTGGGGCGGTTGTTTCGCTTGCTCTTGCTTAGCATCTGCTGGGTGGCCATGGCCTGGTTTCTGAACTTGCTTTGGTTCCCCAGGCTGCTGCTGAGGCACTGGTTTGGAAGACTCAGTTTGCTGCGGGGTAGGTCTGACAGGTCCTTGTTGTTGAACAGCTGGCTTTGGAGACTGTGGTTGAGTTGGATGTTTTGCAGGGCCCCTCTGATCCTCAGGTTTCCCTTGCTCTTTTGGGGTAACTTTTTGTTTCCTACTGGCTTCTTCATGGGCTGCATCTGAATCTGATATCAAATCAAAAGGATTGAATTTGTTCACAACTGAAGTGACTGCACTCAGTGGATTGGCTTCTGAGAGAAAACTGGGCATCATACTTGGCTTCTGATCTTCTTTAAAATCAGTTCTGGACTTTGATTCCCGTAGACTAAGAGTAGAAGGGCTCCGTCCAGGTGCCCGTTGTTCTGTCTTCAGCACATCAACTGTTCTGCTTTTACTTAAACCTGGTTGTCCTGGATCTGGAGGTTTACCTGGTTGTCTGGGACGGTGGCTTGTATCAGGCTCAGGAGGTCTGCAGACAGAAAATGTAATAAAATTAAAATAATGCAGAATCTCAGAAAAATGAGATCAAAAAAGATGTATCAGTGACCCTGGAAGTGTTCTGGTAATGCTTTGAAGTTTCTCAGGTGCTTAAGTGTTTGCAAGACCAAGGTTTATAGCAAGGTGCATGTAAAAATATTTAAATAATAATTATTGTTTCTTAAAGGCTTATACAAGTATTCAGTCATAGACTGATTTATTATTTAGAAAATAACCTAATAAAACAACATCATTCAACCAGATAATTTTTTCTTCAGAAACCTGAAGAACTCAAAGCTACACCTTCCTATTATACCTGTATCCAAATGACTAACTCTCCACCCTATCCCTTGGGATACAAACACAGGAAGATAGAGAAGCCTAAAAAGAGCAGAAGCATCAGAAAATTACCAGATCAAAGCACAGTCATACAGTAAAAACAATGCGCAATGCATTTTGTACTTGGATCTGGCTAACTGTACAAAATTTGGATATATTTTCAATATGCAGCAGAGATTTAGACTCCTAAAATCCATCTATGTTAAGGAGTACATGCTTCTTTGTAAAGTAATTTTTTTGTCACCCATCCCCTCAAAGATCAGAATTGTCCATCAGATAAAACAGGTGCCAGTTCAGAGAACTGGGCCTGAAGCTTTTTTTTTCTTTGCAAATAGAACTACTATACAACTTCCTCTCAGCATCATCCCAACCTTTCACAGCATTAAATGCCCAACATTAAAAAGAAAAATCTCTCATTACATTAGAGAATTTGGAAAAATCCTTACAATAATATTTTGCTGTATGTTTATACAGGAGGAAACAAAACTAAGAATGTAGGAACCAAAATCAAGACCATGTCTTCATATGTGGCACAGTATTCTACTTGTTGCTATACTTGGCTGCAACTGTGGGAAATAATATTGTATTCACTGCTAATGTTCAGGGAGGTAATAAAATATTCTATCAGTGTTATCACTGAGCTTCTGCTGGAAGATATAGTGTTCTCTTCAGTGTCACAGAAGTGTTGTAAATATAAAATTTTCAGTTTCCACTTTGAGAGAACCAGTCAACTATGTTTTTCCAGACAAGACATTTTTTCTTGGGCATTCATGAGCAAAGTTAACAATTACTCATTACATTTAACTGTATTCCTTGAGTAAAAAATAAATAAATAAATGTCCAATTTAGTTTTAAAGTTTTGTCAAAAGTCTGCAGAATTATATATAGCAGCCACATTGAAAAATGTATTTTATTCTGTTAATGTCACCATGAGTTTATTATTTTTTCTGATTAATATTTAGAGATTCCATGACATGCCCACCAATGATAATACAAAAGGACAAAGCCAAGTAGACACTTCTGTGCTTGTAATTCTCACAACAAGGGATTTTTCAAAATCATGTGTCTGAGTTTTTCTGTTAATTAAAAATTTCCACATGAAATACTTGTTAAGGACAAACTATTTCCAGCCTTCATTAACTTCATTTACCCTTTCCTGTTCTTGTAAAATTATTGGCCATAATATTTCGAAGTTTACAACCTTAATGTGCAACCCACTGAACTGAGTAGGTGTTTTTCCATTGGCGTCAGCAAACATTGATTAACTCATTACTCATAAAGAGGATAGTTCAGAAAAGCCCCATGATAATCTAATTCTTTCAAATATTTGGCATTCTTGCTTGTTAAAAGAGCAATTTTATACTCTCATTAGCAACTAGGTAGGTCTACCTGCAGTTCTGTATCTTGTTATTTAGATAAGCACTGCAGATTTATCTGAAGAGGCACTGCTCACCACATGACATCACTTCAACTAGTCTATTAGCAGCAGGCTGGTACACTTCCAGCATTCATGTTTGCAAGTGTTCAAGCTGTTGGAAGGCTTCATTCAACAATGATATGAGTGACAAGGGGTGGAGGGGGGGAGGGGAAGAAGAACACCCTTCCCTAAAAGTGATTTTAGAAATTTAACTTAGACATTGGCAGGAAAAAGTAACCATAGATCACTACTGGAACAGAGTTCTCTAGCTTTCATTTTTATCAAAATAATGTGCCCCATAAATTTCCACTTGATTAGATATCAGGATCTGAAATGAGATTAAAAGCTATGAATCTAGGAAATAAACCCAGGTGATTCTGCAAGGCTGCTGGTGTATTCTGAAGACCAGACTTGTCTTGTCTTTGTATATAACAGTGTTTCTAAGCAATGGAGACAGAGCGTGGCTAACTAGTGGAAGAAAAAGGCTTGAAAAGACAAGCTTCTTGAGAAATGTTACTTCTGTCAAAAGCCAGGACTTGCTTCCTTTAGTTTGAGCTACCTGGGAGTTGAAGCCTTCTTTTCTACTACTAATTTACAACCAACTACAGACCAACATTGAAAAGTTTTAATTGAACTGGAGAATCCTCAAAATTAATCTTGTATTTATTTGACAAGAACTTTCTAACTTTCAAACCTTCTGAATCATGAAAAACCCACAATTGCATTAAAGTCTTCAAACCAGACCCAACAAGCAAAATAATTTAGTTCTCCCTCACACAATGTTTTTCTTTGTGCTGCTGTGTTTCTCCTCACTTTGGCCTTGTTCCATGGAACTCATCTCCACTCATTTACATATTACAGCAGAATCAAAGCCTACTGTGGAGTAAGAGGAGATTTAACAAAAAGACTATTGGTCTAGTTCTTGAATTCCAGAATATAAAACCTATTAAAAAGTCACACCTTTTTCCCATTCATCAGTCTAAATATTTTAAAGAGAAACACAATAACTACACAACTCCAAGATAGTTAGATCTTTTCATATCTACATACAATACATATATAAAAACTTACACATGCCTCAGTGGCTAACTTTTGGGTTTTTAGTCAGTGGAGTGATGACATTAAAAATAATATATATTACTCCTGGAAAATACACCATACAAATACTTCAGAAGTGTGACGGTCAGCAAGACTTCTCAGCATTTCCTATCAAAATGCAGCAATTTTTTTTTTCTGTTGATGTCTACTGTGACCAACTTAACACTGAGGGAAAAAAAAAAACAAACAAACAAAAAACAAACAACAAAAGCACTTCAAAACAAACAAACAAAACCCAACCAGCTGTATTAGATGCTCATATACTCAGCTGGTCATCTAATCCTTTCAGATATGGAACAATTCCTCAGCAAGTGGACACTGACACAGTTACAGAGTCATTCAATGATGCCAGAACAACTGGAACTTTGCTTACAAATTGACTGTGTATGTTTCAGCTAAATTTCCCAGCCATGAGTTTTATGAAGACAGGTAACTGAAAAAGGATAGAAAGATTTCCACAGATCCTAAATATCTTTCCAGAACCTAGATAATGAAAGGTAAAGAAAAAAAAAAAAATTTAAATGGTACATTTGAATTAGGCAGCTCATTTTAGGTGCTCTAGATCTAAATGCTTATATTAATATTCATAATTCTTAAAAGCTCAAAGCCTACAGAAGTCCTAGAAGGTACAGCATTTAAGGTGGCCCAGATGCAACGATGTTATGTGTTACATACATAACTATTAAAAAGTCTATAGTTGCAAAAATTGTTACTTTGGGATACTATCAATCATGAGGAATTTACACACTTTAGGACTTGGGTTACTTTGGGAGCAAGAATGAATGTATTTAGAATTATTTGTCTCTAATATTACAATGGAAATGACAAAGGAAAAATCCTTTTTAGCAATATGGAGAAAAACTAAGACACTGCAATAAGGACACTGTCATAATGCAAAGTTATATGAACTGGAGGCCAGAATTCCTCTTTCAATCACTATTTCGGTCACTTTACATTTGGACTGGCATAACCAGGCTAGAAAAAAAAAAAAAAAAAGCTGTTGGGAACAAATTGTAGAGCATTGGTTGAGAGGCATTTTCCACAACTGATTTCTTTGGCCACACTGACAAAAAAAAAAAAGCTTGAAGCTAAGAAATCTGAGTCTCATTAGGCTCAGTCTGGAAGAGGGTGATCCTTAATCCTTAGAAGAGTCTTACTTCAATGGTTTGGATCAGGTTCTTGATAATTATTCCTAACATTCTTGATAGACCTTAGATAGCAAGAGAGGTGTGCAAGAGGAGCAAGTAAAGCCACAAACCAAGAGCACAGACAAGAAGTAACTTCATTACAGTGTGACAGGCACAAAGATACTACGATGGGAACTGCTATAGCTTCAAAATGTCAACTTTGACTACAAGGTAAAAGGCTGTAATTCACAAAATTAGAGTGCCTTTATTTTAAATAGAGAAAGTATGGTATGCTAACAAGATCAACGTATGTTTATAGGAAAGTAGCCATTTATCAGTGCAGAGATATCCACATTGCAATGAGTTTAATACATTATAAAATCTTCCAAGAATATTACTTTTTACTGGAATATTCGCAGAAAAAAAATAAAAGTTTCTGAGTACTTGTGTCTTTGCTCATAGACTGTTATACAAAAGGGAATTTTGAGCTTAGTTTCACAGAACTAAAGAATACTTCTTTTTCTCATTAACATCTATAGAATCTGGGCAGAGTCCTGAACTGAATGGAAAATTGTACTTTACACACAGTGGTAATACCTGATTAATAATTATGGAAGACATGAAATAGGAAGATTTGACTGCCAGTCTTAAAAAAATGGAGACTGTCATCTCAGGTATAATCCCAGTGACTCCAGTAGTTTGCCCAAGAAGGAATTTAGTCCCCACCCTCCTTGCCTCTCCTCTTCCAGAATTCACTTATATAAACCTGATATTATATAAACTCATCATGCCTTTATGTGGGCTGAGGTCAATACACCGTGAAACAGCCGGTCAAGGAGGCTCCTTTCAGCAGCCAAGACAAACAACACACCCAGCCCCGAAGCCGGAGAGCAACAGAGGCTTCGGCCCTGGATGACGGGCCGGGGAAGGAGGAGGTTCAGGACCAAAGAGAGCGACACGGGGCCGGGGAGGGATGGAGATTCAGGACCGCGGACAGCGGCGGTACGTGGGGAGGGAGGACTGGCTCCGGGCCGGACGAGAAGAGGGCTTGTTGCTCGTCGGGCACTGAATTCACTGGGAGGCAGGGAAAGATCGTGGAAGAAAATCACCTCAGCCTTCGCAGAGACACAACCTCGCAGAGGTAAAGCCATCACTATACAGAACACTGGATGCCGTGGCAGTCAATTTAAACTGTTATTTGGCCTCTCCCCTTTTCAACAAGGAAAAAAAAAAAAAAGCGAAGAAAAATAAGGGGGAAAAAATAGACTGAAACAGACCTCCTCGATCCATGACTATTTAATGAAGCCAAATGATAGTTGTAGAGGTTCCGAATTGGCAGAGTAATGGCCAGCAAATGCATTACGCCGAAAAGCTTTGGAAGATTCAACAAGAATCTCTCTCCACACACAGACGCTTGCAGAACCCATCCGCTCTGGGGAGAGCTTCCCTGGCTACTGTGGAGGCTGTGGGGCATCCAGCCCCGTAAAGCACACACCCGCACACGGAAAACCAGAGCGGCGTCTGCACATCTCTCCGCGCCCCAGACACAGAACTGCCGGTACTCCGGATGGGTGCGAGGGGAGGGAGGGAGAGAGGGAGCAGCCCCCCAACCAAGGACCGCCGTTATTATTAGGGATCATTGGAGTGGGAAGAGCCGGGGAGTGCGGGCTCCGTCCTGGTGCCCGCGCCCGTGCAGCCGCCCCTTCCCTCCCTCCCCGGCAAGATGGAACGCCGGCTGCCGGTGCGGCGGGCCCGGATCGGATTGCGACTCGCCCCCCGCCCCACCGCGAGAAGACAGAGAAGGGGGGAAGGGAGGAGCGGGAGAAGGGAGATTTTTTTTTTCCGTGCATGCCTTTGCATGAGAGGCGGCTCCGTGCCGGCGAGGTTCCCTCTGGGCAGCCCCTGCGCCCTTGACATGACAGCGGCGATCTGCCTCCTCTCCTCCTCGCTCAGCTGGCTCAGGTCCGCCTCCACCCCGGCCGGGACCAGGCGCTGCAAGGGGGCCGCGGGGCCGCCGCCATCCCCGGCCGCCGCCGCCCCTTCGGGGAAGGCGCCCATCCCTTCGCCTCCTTCCAGGCTCGCCTCGTTGCCCATGGCCGCCGCGGCTCCGCGCTCGCCGCCTCGGCTGCAGATCGGGCTGGGGGGCGGCTCGCAGCCGCGCTGCCCGGCGGGTGCTCAGGGCTCCGCGGCCGCCGCCGCCGCCACCACGGCCCCGCTCGGCGGCGGCAGCGCCGTAGCCGGGGCCGGGCTCAATGGCCGTGGCAGGGCTCAGTGGCCGGGGCCGGGCTCAGTGGCCGCCGCCGCGGCTGCCGGGGGAGTGCGGCGGTGCCGCCCGCCCGCTCCGCCGCCCCGCGCAGCGCATGCTCCGGGCGGGCGGGTCCCCCCGCGCCCCGGGCCCGCCCCGCGCCCAGCACTTTAAAGGCACCGCCGCTCCCAGCCCGGAGAGAGCGTGTAGGGATGTGCTGCCTGTCTTGGCGGGCGCTGCCTCCCACTCTCCTTCCCTCCCCACACAGGGGCGAGCGAGGCTTCTCCGAGCTTTGACTGCTCGCTCGCCCAAAACACGAGCTGAGAGGGGCTGGAAGACGCACCCGTAGGACACCCCTGCAAGTAACCCCCTCAGGCGGGTTGCTCCGGACCCTGAGCAGCAGAGTTTTGAAGGTCCCTATGGATGGAGCTTTCGCGGCGTCTTTGAGTCCCTGTCCCACTCTCGTGATGACTGAATACAGCATGTCGGTGTCATTCCAGGATGTGCGAGCCCCAAACTTGTCCCTGCATTCCTAATGCGGTTTCACAGCTGCTGAATATATTGAGGAGAATCACCTTCTCTAACCTGGCCACACTCGAGGTACCAGAGGTCGGTCTGCTATTGGCATCCTTCATCACAAGAGCCGACTGCTGAAATGTTTCACCTGGACTTTTTCTGCAAAGCTGCGTTTGGGCCAGACTATGCTGGTGCATGGAGTTACTCCTTGCCAGATATAGAACTCTGCACTTGCTGTTGTTCAACTTCATGAGGTTCCTGCCAGCCCACTCTCTCACCTGTCAGAGGCCCTGCAAGCAGCAGCCTTGCTTTCACTGTGTCTACTGTTCTCCAAGCAGCCATCATGCTCAGACTTGCTGAGGGTGTATTCCATGCCATTGCCCACATCATTAGCAGAGACGTTGCATATAATTAGTCAGAAAGATACAAATAGTAACATGCCACCAGTTGGATGTGAAACAATGAACCACAACCCATTTGAGCCTGATGGTTCAGTCTATTTTTCATGCCCAGTACAGGTCTTACTAATCTGAGTGTAAGGATATTATAGTTGATCGTGCTGAAAGCCTGATGGAGTAATTTGCCTGGGGTTAAACACATTCTGTCTGTTTTAATAACCTTCCTGTCCTTTGCTTTCAGGACTTGCTCTGTAACTTTCCTAGGAAGGGTACTAGCCACATTAGCCCAACTGCCTTGTAGTTCTCTTGTGGATCCCCTTTTTGAAGATGTGTGCAGTGCTTGGTTTTTTTTCCTGGTCATTAGGGAACTTTCCCACTGTTTGAGGACGACAGAGTGACCTTGCAACAGCATCAGCCCACTCCCTCAGCACCCTTTGATCCGCCCCATCTAGTGCCATAAACTTCTGCATATTGAAGTGCTCTCTAAGTCTGTCTTACTCTACTACAGCTCATGCTTTCACTCCCATGTATTCTGATGCTTGGCTTAGGGATCTGGGAAACTAAAAGACAAACCCAATCTAAAAAAAAACATGGCAAAGAGCCACTGAGTACCTCAACCTTTCTGTGTCTTTCCCACTAGTTTTCCTACCTGATTGATCAGGCCCAAACTTTTACCAAATCTTTCCTAGAGATCTTAATAAATTGTGGCTGTATTTTGCATATTCCAACGTGTTTGTTAAACTAGATCATCACAAGTATCAGTTGTTTTAGCTACAAGAATATGACAGTATTTGGTGCTCTTGCTTGCCTTCTCTAGCACCATTATTACTTTTCACCAGACACAGCTGTATGCAGATGAGCTCCAAAAATGACCTACATAGGGATGCTGTGCAAATATTTATAGTACTTCTGTATTGTAGCTATCAGAGATCATTTTTTTCGGTACTGGTTCATAGTAAATGATGAAACCAGTAGCAGTTGGGGGCTTCCTACTTCTCTCTTAAGTGACTATAAGTTATGCATCAAAAGAACAGCTCAGCAGAGAACATGACAATGCACAGAGGGAAAACTCTTTAAGTGGAGTATCATGACATGAGTGTGGCTGCCTCTCCACATGGTGTTCTAGGTAAAGACATCAGAAGAGCCAGTGGGAAGAGGTGACACATAACACAGTCACAGCTGAACAGGAGTGGATTCACTTGGCATGTGAAGGAAAGACACAAATTTTATTTAATGGTTTTACAGGGAGGTAAATACACGTTCCCTGTTTGCTCAGCACAAGTGAACATCATGTACTTAGTTATGAATACATGTGAAAAGTGCTGCTGCCTGGAAGAAGGCAAGTGCAAAACAAAGATGGGGAACAGGGATTTAATCAGTGGAAACATTTGGTTTTCTGATACATAGTAATGCGAGCATTCATACTGCTCTTACGTGTACACAATACTTAAATATCCTGTGGAGGGTGATATTACTGTCCTTTAGCTCGATAGTCTGAAAGTTTATTAAGTTCCCAAATGAAATTTTTCTAAACAAATAACTTCACTATGTTTTTTATTCAAAGGCAAATAAGTAAATAGAGCTTTTGACTCAGACCTAGAAGTTGTCATATGTTTAAAATCAGATGCAATATGTTAGATATAGCTACAGACAAAACAAGTGAGATCAAACCACAAAAAAATTCACTCAATAAAAGTATTTAAATGGGGGGATTAGTTCTTCTAGTGCTTACTGTTCAAAACTTTGTACACTGTTCCTGTTTCACTGTTAACATGTTCTGAGATAGAAGATAGGAGGAAAGAGACATATGATGCCTAAAGAAGCAAACTGAGCCCAAATGGAGGTGAAGGATGACAAATGACCTTTGGTGGAAAGTTCATTATTGGCTTCACTGGAGCCAAAGATGTCACCTTAAAAATTATTATGATTTCAAATATCTTAGGGATTGTCGTGGAAACTGTCTCTTTTTACAGTTCTGTGACATTTACCTTTTCTTGTGAAACAGCATGAAATTGAAATTCCAGAAGTCCCACTGCAGGCCTGTTTTCCCTACATCCTGTCATTTCCACATCCTGCTCCCTATATGCTTCACAGTCTGTCCAAAAGTGAAAAGAACACACTCATTTTTGTGTTACGGATGAAACTCAAAAACTAATGAGGCACAATGTTCTGTTGCACTGAGGAAAGAAGAGTAATCAAATGAATCAGCCTATTTCTCAAAACTCTTAATATCTAACTTGCAAGAAACAGCTTGGTGGTGTCAGGATAAAAACCCTTATTAAAAAAAATTGCTTAATCTCTAACACTGAAAAATATGATTAAAACCTTTTCAGAGATAAAACAGTCTTTTTAAAAGCGCATGCAAATTAGAAGAGTTGCTGTAAATTTAGAGGCAGAGATACAGAAGCAAGTCGCCTTCCCTTTGATAGGTAATATAAAAAGGATAATCATGAACAGAGGCAAATCCAACTACCCTTTGAGAACCCACTCAGTTTTTGCAGAATTTTCATTGTATCCAAAATAGATCATCACAATCCACAAATATTTATATTTTTTACACTGAGTCCATGAATGACATTTCTATCCCTGCAAAACAAAGACACAGTATATTTGAAGTGCTGTAACTTCATTCAGATTAAAGACTGTGCTATGTCAGTAATGCAGTACTTTCATGTGGGCCCAACCAGTTTGGTATGCAAACTAGATGCATCAGATCTCCAAAGGAGCCAGTCCAAGTCAGAGCTAAGTATGCAGAAGCAGCACAAGGATGCTAGTTCATCTTTTGCAGTGCTGAATCTGATCTAGAGCAAGGGAATCTCAGTTAAGTGTTATCTGCAGCACTAAAATGAGTGCTTGAAGTTAATTTACTGATTAACAACACTGAAGACATCCAATCTTCTCATCAGTAGGCTACTTACTATAGATGTGCTCTTTATATTTTAGTTGAGAAAGAGCCATTTAGCACATAGAATTTGTAGAAGTAATGCTAAGATCATCAGAAGAAAGGAATAAAAGGTCAGTAACACCTTGGCATGAGCTGGCAAAAAAAGGAGAGGAAGGAAAACTTTTATATCTTAATAATATGCCTGGCATTATGCCCAGAAAAAAGTGAAGGAGGAAGAAGGTATGTTAATCATTAAAGATTAACAAAGACTGTACTGATCAGTACCACAGAAAAAGGTAAAGAGGAGCTAGAATTTGCATAAATATATTTATAAAATTTTACACATTAATAATTTTATATTCTAGCTAGTACACATACCTAGTTGAATGTTACAGCGCCCCTATCACATTCATCTACCCCATTTCAGTGATACAGGGACTGTGGAGGGTACTTTGAGTTTAAAAGACTAAGATGCATCCAACAGTTCAGTCCATCTGCTATACAGAATGAGCAATGCCTCTTAATGATACTTGTTTTCAGTGATACTTCTTCTCTCACAATTATTAATTCTTTATCAAAACTGCACTTGTCTACAGACCAACCAAAATTTGGCTAAATACTGCACAGTAAATGTTCTTCAAGATGATGATGACTCTGCAGTCTCACCTGACTTACTAGTAACCAAAACAATCAATACAAGATAATAACAAGGTACCTTGCAAAGCATTGTGTATTGCTGTTCAATTCAAATATATATAGCTCTCCTCTACAAAGAATTTTCCATCTATTCCACTTTGTACATGCCAGTTGAGAAAACACTGGAATAGTGAGCTCATCTGTTCCAAAAATCCTGCAAAACCCTGTCTACTTTAGGAAAAAATATCATACACAAGTAAAACTGAATATAGCGCAAAACCTTCCAGGTAGGACAAAACAACCTGGGCAGAATTATTTGCAGTATTCTAGAGTTCCTGAATGTCTGGGGTTTTGGAATACCATGCACTCTGATACAATAGGATTAATGTTACAGCATTCTATATAGGAATAAACAAATCACTTTTGAATAGCCTCTGCAGATATTTTAGCCTCATTATCATCAGTCTAAGTGAAACAGGATTAGTGCATGCACTTTACCCCACCGAGAAGCCAGTGCATAGACACCTGGATA